CCACTGAGCCGCCCGCCGGGCTCTGCTCCCACGTGGGCATCCTCCTCCCCATCACATCTGGCCGTTGCCTTTTCCTTCCTGGAGCCCCTCCTCTGCTCACAGCTGCTTCCTCCCGCCCCGCTCACCGGGGAACGCGCCCGGAGGCCAGGGCCGCGGAGGGGGCAGCCCCGGGAGTGGCGGGGGAAAAGGCTGTGCACGGGTCTCGGAACCTCTGAGATCCGCTTACGAAACCCTTGTCTAGCCCTGGCCGGTGTGGCTCAGTGGATAGAGCGTCGGCCTGCGGACCGAAGGGATTGGATTCCGGTCAAGGGCAGGTACCTGGGTGGCAGGCTTCTCCCCGGCACGGGCCCTGGTCGGGGCGCCTGCAGGAGGCAACCAGTGGATGCGTCTCTCTCACATGGATGTTTCTCCCTGTGTCTCCCTCTCTCGTCCGTGCTCCCTAAAAACCCGGGTGAGGATGAGCAACAGCGACAAAAAGACGTCGCTGTCTCCCTCAAGGTCAGGAGGCAGCCTCCTGCCTCCCCTTCCCAGGCGTCTGGCTGCTCACATTGAAATGAAAACGTTGCCCGGGGAGACCGGAGACCAGAGACCGGACGGAGCCAGCGACGAGCCTCCCCCAGTGGGTGTCATCTGCGTGGCGGCCGTCTCCTCCTCCGGGCGGATGTGCTGCCGCGTCCCTGAGGCCCTCGCCTGCCTCGGGCTCTGAGCGTTTCCCTTGGGGGGGCAGTCAGAGCGCGTGGCTGCTCGCTGGCTAAGGAGCTCGGTCACGTCTTTGATCCACGCTCGCTTAGATCTGAGAGTCATGGCTTCACCCTTTCGAAAGGGCGTCTCTAACGTGCGGGAAGAGAGTGTCAGGGCTCCCAGCAGGCCCTGCTACCTTAAAAGGAAGGAGGGATTCGGCCCTGGCTGGTGTGGTTCAGTGGATAGAGCGTCCGCCTGCAGACAGAAGGGTCCCGGGTTCGATTCTGGTCAAGGGCCTGTGCCTGGGTGGCGGGCTCGTTCCCCAGTGGGGGACGGGCAGGAGGCAGCCGATCCATGATTCTCTCTCCTCTTTGGTGTTTCTATCTCTCTGTCCCTCTCCCTTCCTCTCTGAAATCAACAAAAATATATTTTTTTAAATGGGATTTTTTGCATCTGGGTGTCTCAGGCCTCAAGAAATTGGGGCTAAACCAGTTTACTTATGAATGTGGGGAGTAGGCACCCCCAATGTCATTGTGACAGATTGAACATCATTAAAGCACAGTGATTCATCACAAAAACAATATGCGATTATAGATGTGTTTTCCGATGGTCTTAGGCGACCCCTGTGAAAGGGTCATTCAACCCCCAAAGGGGTGGCGACCCCCAGGTTGAGAACCACTGCATTAGACGGTTCCAGAACGTGCCCGTGGGGTTTCGAGTCCCCACTTCTTTCCCGTGTGAAATCGCTCGCCTTCCCGGGAAAGGGTCATTATGTTTCACGTGGTTGGTGAGCAGCTGGAGGCCGCAGATCCGACGTGTTATTCCCGGCAGCCCCAGAACCGGCTGTAAAATAGACAGAGTTTTATAACCTTTCAACCCACCCCTCATCTGCATGGAAATGCGAGCGTCCGGCTCCCCGGACATTCGGACGCGGCCGGGCGGCCTGGATGGAAATGCCGGGATTCACCTGCAAACCCGCCGGCCGGTGCGTGTCCCGGGGGCTCGGCTCCGTGGTTTGCGCTGTGAGAATCGTGTCGTTTCCTCCCATTTGGGGCTTGGCTAGACTCAGAGGTGGGTTTACTGGCTCTGCAGCCTCCCGGGCTCCTGGCCCCCAGGGAGGAGGGTGTGGGGACCTTGAGGACCACAGTGTGGAGTTTAATTTCCCCGGAGGGTCCCCTATTCCCACGCTGACACTGGAGCTCCCCGAGTTCCCGGGGCCCCAGGACTAGGGACTTGGGACCACGGGACTGGATTACTAGCAGTTTTCACTTTTTATTGCTATGCTTCAGTGATCTACAATTCATTGAACACAGGCTCTGCTTTACTTTTTAGAATAATTGTAATACTTTATTGAGATGTAAAGTGTAAAATTCAGTGGCTTTTTGTATATTCACAGAGTTGTGTAACCATCACCACTGTCTAATTGTAGAGTATTTTATCACCCCAGAAAGAAATCCCGTAACTATCAGCAGTCCCTAGCAACCACAAATCCACGGGCCCTGTGTTGGGGGGCCCATACTGTCGTCCCCAGGGCTGCACAGGGCCCCTCGGCTCCAGGACTCAGGGTCCAAGGTGACTGTCACCCCCCCGCACCCCAATGACGCCACCCCATTCCCGGTTCCTGGCCACGGGGTGGCCACTAGCGGGGACGGCCTCGCCTCCCTCCCAGTTTCTCCAGGAAAGTGGGGGTGACCAGGTGCTCCCTCGTCCTGCAACACCACACCCCGAATTCTAACAGCCTCCCGGGAGCCGGGCCAGCCTGCTCCCTCCGGTTGCAAACTCCAGCACAGACAGCACCGCGTTCCCACGGCCGGGAGGGTGTGACCGCGGCCGGGAGGGT